TGTAGGTGGTGCACCAACTATGTTTCCTATGCTATATGTTTCTTGAAACCTATAGTGGAACCCATTCTCCAACTTTTCTTCTCTCCAACTCACTCGATACCTCGCCTAGGAGAAACCCGCTCGACACTAAGTTAGGGCCTAGGCTTCTAAGCCTAGGCCCCACGTTTCTATTCTCTATTACCTACTATTTTGACATGTTATCAGAGCGACGTTCGTTCTGGCCTCACGTTTCCGCTGCTACGATTTTCTGGTCGCGCGCCTAGGGCGCGTGACGAATTTTTCCTTGTCCCGCCCCCGGTTGGCGTGTGACGCCTTTTCTGCCCGTCGCGCGCCCCGTGGCACGCGACGGTGCCCTTAACCTGCCCATCGTGCGCCCCGTGGCACACGATGGTGCCCTGCTCGTCGTGCGCCCCGAGGCACACGATCGGGCCCTTGCTCTTATCTTACCCGTCGTGCGCCCCGTGGCACTGGCACGCGACGGGCCTTTCCGCCCCTGCACTCCCTGAAGCCGCCCCTGACACCACTGCACCGACACCTTTTCGCCGCTCTGCGGCTTTCTTCCTTCCCACCCCCCTCCTCCTTTGTCTCCCTGCAGCCGCGGGGAGGAGGGTATGGGGGTGGAGGGTGTTGGAGTGTGGCGTCACCTCTCTCCCTTCCCCTCCTCCTTCTTTCAGTCCCACCGCTGCAGCTGCCGCTGGGGGGAGAAGGTGTGAGGATGTGGGGGAGCAGGGGGAGTGGTACCGGGGTGGCGGGTGTGAGGCAACATGCAGCCATCCCTCCACCTCTCCTCTCTTCCCCCCTTCTCTGCTGCTCCTGCAGCAGTGTGGGGGAGGGGAAGGAGGAGGGTGAGGAGATGGAGGGGGTAACTCTTTAATGTTAGCCCGCCTGCATTACCTGCTGTTGCTTGTGATTATTTTGCATGGTGTACCCCCTCAGGGGGGCGTAACTACTTTTCTACCTACAAGCATTATGGGGGCGTGTCGAAATATGTTTGTCATATTTTATAACTGCTTGTAGTTGTAGTGTAGTTATTGTACTTTGTAGGTGGTGCACCAACTATGTTTCCTATGCTATATGTTTCTTGAAACCTATAGTGGAACCCATTCTCCAACTTTTCTTCTCTCCAACTCACTCGATACCTCGCCTAGGAGAAACCCGCTCGACACTAAGTTAGGGCCTAGGCTTCTAAGCCTAGGCCCCACGTTTCTATTCTCTATTACCTACTATTTTGACAATCCTTTCCGTCGAAAGGAGTTGAGGTCTTCAATTTTGAAGTCAGTACAAATTTGGTTTGCATTGAAGCAATATCTGACTGTGGGTGTCGTGGGATGTCTTGTGCAGGAGCTGACCCTTGACGATTGTCAAAGGTGAAGGATCTCTCGGAGTTGACGCGGCGGTCTTCTCTAGGGAGAGGAAGTCCAGCAACGCCGCGTGCATAGGTTGAGCCGTCAACGCTCATTGCTTGGTGGCTCTCAAGGGCGTTGATGCGTGCGACTAGTTCCTCAACGACAGCGGCGCTGACGGAGGTCACCGCTGATGGCGCGTTAGTCGTTGCTGATGGTGGGCCCGGTGAGTCTGCAGTAGCTTTCCCTTCAGGAGCCATAGTATTGTAGACTTTGAGGTGTAATGAGTAACCTTATAAAGGGGTTGTTATGAGAAGAACGAGAACTTGACAGATCGTATAATCCACTCTTGCTCTCATACCATGCTGATGTAACGAAGGATCCAGTGGATAGGATAGAATCTGTTAAGTCTGAGAGGAGACAATGAAGTCTCTGTAGTGACCTTGTTGAATAATAATTGAAAGAGAACAAGATAATTGAAAGATAGGAGTACAAGAGATTAAATAGAAATCTAGCTAGCCATGTACCCTGAGGGGTACATTCCCTTATTAACTGTATTGCATAGCTACAGTAACCGTGACTATTGCTATCCTCGACAGTTACCATGTTGCAGTGAATTAACTGTCGCGCAGTTACTGGATTGTCAAGGGTCACGACCGTTGACTTCCTCAGACGGTTGACCTTCGGGTGACCCTCGACATTCCGCATGCTCTATATGAGCTATTGCGGTACTGGTACAGTTGAACAGCTTTGGGAATGCTTTATATAACCTTTCGGTTATTCCAACAGGGACAAAAATGGACACCGTCAGAAGCTGAAAATCCTTGAGTCGTTTTCAAACAAACTGTGAGGCCTCTGTAGGTGATAAGTGTTTCCTCTCTATTGCCATAATTCATTCTATCAGTTCAATCTTGTACCGTATTGTCAAAGTTTGAAGAAAGAAAGAGGATTGAACTAGCAAGAATGAGGATACAAATAGCAAACCCTAGAAGGGTTGTACTCGCTATAGAGCACCCCACTACAGGCTAGAACAATAAGATAATATTCTGACACACCCCCATAGCCAAAGTGGGGTGTAATCAGCAGAGCAGGCAAAGCAAAACAAGCTCAGGGTGGATCACAATGTCACCACACATTCTGAGCACAAGTTCAAGAAGAAATAGTTTAGAGTTTACAATTATAAGCAAAGCTAGTGGTAGTCACAACGGGCAAGTGAGGAGGAGGAGGGAGAGTGAGGGGAGAGGAGACAGGAGGCGACGGCTGAAGCTGCAGACACACGGGCAACAGGAGGCAGACTGGCACAGCGGCTACCGGACAGCGCCCGGACTACAGGGGTAACAGGCCCCGCGGCTCAAATAGCGGCGGACGGGCAACGGACCCACGGGCGGCTGGCACAGCTGGCTACGACTGGGCTACCGGGACAGCGCCCCGGACTACAGGTGCTGCTGACGACAAACTGGCAACCTCCGCTCATCCTCCCGCACACAGTCCCACCCCCCTGATACACACCCACTGCTACACCACTAGCTCTACTCCCACGCACCCCCCTAAAACCCTAAACCCCAGTCTCCCACACAACCACCCCCCTCAGCGACAGCTGCAGCAGTGGGAGACGAAGGAGGAGGAGGAGAAAGGGAGGAAGGCACACCGGCCACCCCCATACCCGCCACCCCACAGCAAGCGGCCCCCTCAGGTCGCCACGACGGACGACGGGAAATGGGGGAAGGGGAGAAAGGGGGGGGGCCCACCACGGACCTGAGGGGAGGGCGGGGCCGCGACAAGGGGCGGGGCCGTGACGAGCGGGGCGGGGCCGCGACGGTCGGGGTGGGACCGCGACGTAGGGTGGGGCCGCGACAGGTCGGGGCCGCGAAGGTAGGGCGGGGCCGCATAGGGTCCGGGGCGGGGCCGCGACGTAGGGCGGGGCCGCTTCGAGGGGCGGGGCCGCGACGCAGGGGCGGGGCCGCGACGAGGGGCGGGGCCGCGACGGTCGGGGCGGGGCCGCGACGGAGGGGCGGGACCGCGACAGGTAGGGCGGGGCCAAGCCGGGCAGGCGCACGGGCGGCGACGGGCCGGGGCGGGGCCGCGACGAAGGGCGGGGCCGAGCCGGGCAGGCGCACGGGCGGCGACGGGCCGGGGCGGGGCCGCGACGTAGAGGAGAAGCCCGCCGCGCGCCCCGGAGCGCACAGCGGGCAATGAACCGCCGCGCGCCTCGGGGCGCACGGCGGGCAGAAAACCGCCGCGCGCCTCGGGGCGCACGGCGGGATGAAAAAGTAGCAGCGGAAGCAAGGTGGGGACACACCCACAGGATCGATCCAAGGGGATCGACCTGCTCTGATAGCATGTCAAAGTTTGAAGAAAGAAAGAGGATTGAACTAGCAAGAATGAGGATACAAATAGCAAACCCTAGAAGGGTTGTACTCGCTATAGAGCACCCCACTACAGGCTAGAACAATAAGATAATATTCTGACACGTATATGCTTACTTCAGCGGCAATCTAGTGGACTCAGGGTTTTCTTTTTCAGAAAATTACCTTTCTCCCCAGTTATTCAGGTAAAACCGAAGACCTCGGTTTTACAGAAACGTGTTACGCTATGCCTTGTTACCACTCTTCCCTAGTTTCTCTTCCCTAGCTTCTACGGTAATCCCTAGCTTCCACGGTAATCCCTAGCTTCTAAGGTAATCCCTAGCTTCTACGGTAATCCCTAGCTTCTCTTCCCTAGCTTCTTCTCCGACAGTATGGAATAAAAGGTCTATGGTGTGGTCACCAAAATCGTTCTGGTATTATGCACCCAGCTCCGAACCATATGAAGCCAACCAGAACCAAACCATTCCAAACCAACCTGGTCGCCTCCGAATATATTACGAGCCTGGTTTCCCGCCAAATTTCATTGCCACTTTCCCGCCAGTCGAAGTCTCGTTGCTGTCAAACTAGGCCTGTTCAGCCTGATGCTAGTACCACTCACAAGCACCCAGCAGCAGCAAACTCTGATTCACAAGCAGCAGTAGCTTTCTGATTCACAAGCAGCAGCAACTCTCACAAGCCTTACCAGTCTTCCATTAGATTCTTTCTCGTGTTGCCTACCTCTCAGCTAGCATCCGAGGAAAACATGACGCAAACACCAGCAGAAACATCTCAGCAGCCTTTTGCTCAGGCTGCAAACCAGCCGCTTGCAGCGACGCAGCAGAAAATTATTGGTGATATCTTTTCCCGCATTTCTGACGACCTGCTGGGGGTGATCCTTTGTTTTGTTGCGTCTAACGGCAATAGTCTCGACAGCAGTGATTCGCTCGCAAATGACGAAGACAATCTTCAAGAGAAAATTGAGAATGCATTGCACAAGCCGCCGCCATGCGAGAGCCAGTGGTTAGACACGACTAAGGTTCCTCCTTCCGATACTTGTTCATTAGTTACGTTCTGCCACGCTCTGGTCTGCAAGCGATGGCTGCGCGTCGCCAGCTCCGTGCATCCCGCCATCATCGTGCCTCGCAATCGCCTCTTCTCCGCACGAGCTTTCTCCTCACTCCTCGCTCCACCGAAATCTAGGTTCTTGAATCTTAGTCACCTACATCTCGGCAAGTTCGCGTCAGACTCCATTGATAGCAACCTCGTGCGATCCATTTGCACCGGATGCGGCTCGTCCCTGACGCATCTCACAATGTACGTGAACGATCGACGGTTCTCGAGATCCACGCAGCACGACCGTAGCAGAGACCATGAACAGTCGACCAGCCTCGCACCGTCCGATGTCGCCACCATCTTCGAATCCTGCTCGCGATTGGTCGATCTCCAGCTGGATGGCATTCCGGAGATTCCGCCTGCCATCAGCTGTTTGCAGCAGCTCACGAGGCTCAGCGTGAGGCTCAGCGAAGGCGTTACCGGGTTACCAGAGGAGTTCGGCAGGCTGGTAGGACTTAAGGTTTTGCGACTTTATACGGGTTTTTCGTTTCGTGAGTCACCTGATCCCATATGCTATCTCAGCTCCTTGGAGCGCCTCTCCTTTAGCGGCTCCGACATTTTTCATCTGCCAAGTGAATTGGGACAGCTCCAGAACTTGAAAAGCATCAGCCTTTCGTATCTTGAAGAAGTCGTTGAGCTGCCAGATTCAATCTGCGAGCTTTCAAGCCTTACGCGCCTTTCTCTCAGCCACTGCCCGCAGCTCACCAGGCTGCCCGAAAACCTTCACCAACTGTTCGATCTGGATACAGTGGAGCTGATTGAACTGATGGCATTGACATCATTACCTGAGAGTATCGGCCAGCTGCCCGCTCTACAGGACTTATACCTTCAAACCTGCTCGCGACTGACGCAACTGCCAGGCTCCCTATCTGCCAGCCAGACTCTCCATCGCCTCACGGTCGACAACTGCATTGACATGGCCTCGCTACCCGAAGACCTCGGTATGATTGCTACTCTCCAGTACCTGCATCTCTACACTCTCGATGAGCTCAGCGTTCTTCCGGATTCCCTCGGCCTGCTGTCTGGGCTGAAGGAGCTGAGAATCGTTGACTGCTGGGAGTTGGAGGGTTTCCCGCAGTCTGTTTCGGCCATGGGGTCCCTGACCAGCCTGGTTCTCGACGGGTGTGCTGTCAGGGCGCTGCCCGAAGACATCGGGCAGCTTCAGAACTTGAGTTTTATGAAGCTGTCTTGCTCCAAACTCGTGGATCTGCCCGAGTCTTTCGGGCAGCTCGGGAAGCTGAGGGGGCTGATTCTGCATGCGTGCTACGACCTGGGTGAACTCCCGGCCTCCTTCTCGAACCTCGCTTCACTGGAAGTACTGGAGATGTATGGCGCGCCCTATCTTGAAGAGTTGCCTCCGGGGTTTGAGAAGCTGCCGCAGCTGAGTAGATTGGAGCTGTTTAACTGTGCCATCGGGGAACTACCTGACGAGTTTGGGGGCTTGGCGAACTTGAGAGTATTCAAGATCGGTGCCAGGGATACTTATAACAGGAGAGGGTTGGATGCTGATATCTATTTATCTGATGGTCCCAGGAGTTCGGAAGCAGAGGCTGTTTCCGAGTCTGACTTACACGGGTCATGTGGACTTTATCAATTTCCACCGTCCTTGGTTCACCTCGCCCGTCTGGAGCAGCTGATAATAGACCGATGCGAGCTGCTAAAGGGGTTACCAATGGGCATGGGAAATCTGTCCAGCCTCAAAGTGCTTGAGGTTATCAACTGCGAGTATCTCCAGGTCTTTCCGTCGCTCTTGCCCACTCTTGCTCAAACCAATGAAGCAGGAACTTGTGTTGCTGCTGAAGCTGCTGCTAATGCTGTTATTGCTGACATCATTGCCGGTGCTGTTGCTTCCAACGCCCATCTCTTTAACTACATACCTCTCCCATCGCTCCAGCGCCTGAAAATCTCCGGGTGCTGCGATTTGCAATACCTCCCAGAGGGCCTCGCTAAGCTACCTAGGCTGGAAGATTTCACGCTTGCAGACTGCAACAAGCCAAGATTTGCCGACCAGGTCGTCTGGGCCTTCACTAGACCGGTCGACCCCCTGCCTCTTTCTGCACCCATCTCCCTTCCTCGCTCCCTGACCTCCATTTCCATTTCCTACACCTTTGGGTTCGTTCGCTACCTCCCAGAGTCCTTTCTTTCTCTCAGCCGCCTTACAAGCCTGAATATTCAAGGTCTCCACTCACTCAAGCAGCTGATAGCCCCTCCGACCCTTCACCAGATTCCAGCCGAATGGGAGGGGGAAGCCACATCTGGAGATCCTCCTGTCATCACAAGTCCTAGACTCACCGTAGCCATCGGGCAAGCTAGGTTGGAGCTCCTATCCTCTCTCACCTGCCTCAATATCAGCCATACCAGTTTGCCTGCGCTTCCAGATAACCTGAGCGACCTGAGAGCGCTGAAAGCACTTGTGCTAGAGGAGTGCTCTGCCATGCCACTCCTTCCTGCCTGCCTGCCCGACCTCTCAAATCTCGAACAGCTGACCATCAAGTCTCTCCCGCTACTTACCCACCTGCCCGAAAACCTCGGGCAGCTGAATGTTCTCAGCCTGCATCTTGAATCATGTAAGGACCTGCAACGCCTTCCTCCTTCCCTCACTCTCATGCCCTCCTTGAAATTCCTCAGCATTGTCGACTGTCCCCGTATCACCAGCCTCCCAGATTCCATCTCCTCCCTCTCCCGCCTCGCATCTCTGAAGGTTGAGCGCCTGCCTGGTCTGCACCATGTCCCCCCCACTCTCCCCCTCCTCCCGTCCCTTGTCAATCTTTCTCTAAAAGGGTGCATTGGCCTACGTGCGCTGCCCAACGACTTGGGCGGTTTGTCCTGTCTGAGGGAGGTGGATCTGGACGGGTGTTCGCAGCTAGAGGTGCTGCCTCAGTCACTTCTGGACAGACAGAATGTGATTGAAGTGAAGGGCAGATGGGGAAGTGCTGGGAATCGAAGTGATGGAGCTGTTTCATTCAGATTGTTACTGTACTAATCGTTTGTTGACATACCTCTTAGAGTGCATGGAGAGTGCATGCCTCTTAGAGTTGATAAACATGGTACCAAGTTGCACCACTTTTATGAGTGACACATATCAAGGTCAGTATTTTACAGCTTAGATAGGTAGCATTTTTTGCGAACACCTTTTATTGAAAGTGAGTGCGAGTTTCAATCCAAGCGCTTGTCACAATCGTTGTGGGGGAGCGTCTATGGCATTTGTGGTGAGCTATGTTGCTATCTCTAGTTGATGTATGACAACTTTGGGTTGTAATGCGCTGTACAATATCGGACGTTGTGAGCACAGCCCCGTAAATTTTCAGCGAACCAGTCAATCCACACGTCACCCTCCCACCTCGGTTCTGCCCATCACTGCCACATCAGCACGTTTGGCCTTGAGTGACGAAGAAATCTTTGCGCGACACCCAGATCGCCTGAGCTTCCAAGCTTCCAGCTTCGAGAGTTCATGAAAGACTGTTTTGAATGACCATGGCGGTTTTATACCCCTCTTAGGAAGAGACGCGCTGCTACCGCCGTGATGGCCGCTGTGTCCGCGGCAGCTACTGTGTGGCCGATTTGCCCCCGAAGTAGCCACCTTCCGCTTATTGTCACATCCGGGGTTTCTTCTCGACACATCGCATTCAGCAGGAATCCCCGCAGCAGCAGCGGCGGCGGCAGCAGCAGCAGCCGTCCATTCGCGAACGCACGTCTCCTCTCTGCCACACCTTTCCCTCTCTCACATACGTTCGTTGTCCCGTTTGGTCGCAAGTGCCGGCTTGTCGCGTCCGTGGTGGAGGGGGGTGTGAGCTCAGGGATTGCCGACGGGGAAGGTGAGGTGCAGGGCGATGGGGAGGATGAGGAGGGGGGGATGAGAGAGGAGAGGAGAGGAGAGGGATGTGGAGGGGCGGAGAAGGTTGAGAGAGACGGGAAAGACGCTCCAACAGGGATTTTAGAAGAGATTATTGTTGAAACGAGTCAGACTGGCAAGGGTGGCGGTGCTGGGAGCAAGAGAGCAGCTTTTGCAGCTGCTGTGAGAAACGCAGCTTCTCTGGTTACTAACGTCCCTCGTAAACTAAAGGAGTCTGCTGCTCCGATAAAAGAGGTGTCTGGTAGGCTGAAACGAGCTGCTGACGTGGCTGCGGAGGCACCTAGAGCGTTGACCCAGGCTGCGGACGAGGTAGGTCGGAAGGCCGGGCAGAAGCTGACTCAGCTGCCGGATTCTGTCTTTGACTTGGGTCAACGCACTGGTCAACGCGTAAAGGGAAGGTTGGGCGACTTGGCAGGTGATAAGATAGGGCAAAATTTGGGTCAACTGCCGGATGCAGTCTTTGACCTGGGTCAACGCACTGGTCAACGCGTGAAAGGCAAGCTGGGAGGATTGGCAGGTCACAAGGCAGGGGAGCAGTTGGTTCATTTGCCTGATTTTGTCTTTGACTTGGGTCAACGCACTGGTCAAGGCGTTAAAGGCAGACTGGCAGAAGTGGCAGGTCATAAGGCTGGACAGAATTCGGTTCAACTGCCGTTTTCTGACCTAAACGTGGGTGAAATTCCGGATTCTGTCTTTGACTTGGGTCAACGCACCGGTCAACGCGTCAGAGGCACGCTGAGGGATCAGGCTGGTGGGTGGAGGAGGAGACTGAGTCAACGCTTGGTTGACCGGTCCAATGCAGTGAGTACAGGTGGAGATGGATTACAGGACAGGGCAGAAACAGGTGAGGGAGCCTCAGCAGGTGTAGCTTCGGCAGGTGTAGCTTCGGCAGGTGTAGCTTCGGCAGGTGTAGCTTCGGCGGCAGGTATAGCTACTGCAGGTGTTGCAACAAGTTCAGGTTCAGAGGAAACACGTCAGAAGCGGGTTAGGTTGCGGATTCGAACCTCTTTAACAACGAAGGAGCAAGGGAAGACGCTCAGGAAACATGCACAGGCGTTGAAACAGCATTCCCAAGCGTTGACCCAGCTGGTCCAGCCGCTGCTGAAAGAAACATTGAGGCAAAGAGCTGGGTTACTTGCGGATGCTACTGCTGCCACTCCTGAAAGACTACGTGCTATAAGAAAAGCTGCCACTGCTACTGTCAGCGTCTCTCTCTTAGCAACCACTGCCGCTGCGGCTGCTGCTGCTGCTCGTGGGGGGTTGGTGGTGGGTTCTGTTGGCGGCAGTGCTGCCTTTGCTCGGCAGATTGCTAGGAGAAGGTACGCTGTTGATGGTGGCGCCTCTGCAGTGGTGGTGGTGGGCAGTGATGGATATGCCATTGCGGATGTTGCTGCTGCTGGTGATGATTGTAGTGGCTGTGGTTGTAATGTGCTAGAGAGCGGTGCTGTTAGGGAGAGGGATGGAGGTTATAGCGAGGGGGGGTTTGGTGCGAAGGCGGGTGGTGTGACTAATGGCAGAGGTGCTTCAATGGAGGACCCACCAGACCCTACCGGACACTCCCAGGAGGTAAAGAGACCAAGGATGGAAGAGGAGGAGAGGGGAAACAGAAAAGCGGAAGGGATGGGGGAAGAGGAAGGTGGAGAGAAGAAGCGATCAGGGTTGCAGCAGCTGCAGCATTGGTGGGCGTCGTTACTGGCTGCATGTGCCACAGCTCTCAAGGAAACAGTGGGGAAGCAGCTAGCAGGGGGGGTGATGACCCATGCTGCCCGCTGGTTGGCTGCTGGAGTCACTGTGCTGCTGCTGCTGCTGCTGGCTCTTCTAGTCGCTGCTGCTAGTGCTCTGAGAGGGAGGGGAGGGAAGGGAGGGAGTGGAGGGCTGAGGCAAGGAGAGCAGCAGTTTGTGACCTTTGAGTCGAGACAGAAGTCTCTTGTGGGTGTGAAAAGAGTGGTGTGGCATTTTGAAGAGGGTGCTGCGAGGTTAGGAGCGGTGGATTTCAGACACGAAGGGGTGCTACGCGGTGCTGCGATGGATGGACCAAGGGTTGTGTTGTGTGATATGATGAGAGACTGTGCAGGTCGTGGTGATGCAGTGAAGCATGTGCAGCTGGTTTCTTGGAGACGGGGAAGAAATGGACAGGAGCTGGAGGAGACTGCTGAGCAGCGGTGGTGGAGGGAGAAGAGTGGGAAGAGGAGACGAGGAGGGTCGAACTGGATAATTGGTAGTAGCAGTGGCAGCAGCAGTCATGGTTCTGATAAGGAGAGATTGAGCCGGCACAGGGCATGGGAGGGAGGCAAGGAGAGTGTTAGAGTGGTGAGGGGAGAAGCGGGACATGCCAAGGAAGTCAGTCAAGTCAACGGGGGCAGTCAAGGGGGAGTCAGTGCAAGTGAATTTAGGAGAAGAGAGAGAGATGAGGCAAGGAGGGTAAAGGAGGAATTAAGGAAGAGGGAGAAGGAAATGAAGAAGGAAAAGGAGAGGGAAAGAGAGAGGGAGAGGGAGAGGGAAAGGGAGGCGCTAGAGTATGAGATATGGCTGCAGGGGGTGTGGGATGAGGCAGTAGCGCGGGGCATATCGGAGGAGACAGTGAGGGAGGCTTTGGAAGGACTGCAGCCGCTGCCTGCTGTGGTGTCCAAGGTGACTGGTGCCGCGGAGGTGGTGCTGACTGCACGGCAGTACGTGGACAGGTGAGAACTGGGGAAGGTTGATTGACTTACAAGAAGTGTGGGGAGACGGTAATGTGAGGAGGGTGTTGGAAGGGCTGCAGCCGCTGCCTGCTGTGGTGTCTAAGGTGACTGGCGCTGCTGAAGTGGTACTGACTGCACGGCAGTATGTGGATAGGTGAGTGTAAAGAGCAATTGGTGAGTAGTATATGCATGGACAGGGAGCTGTGGTTTCGAAGGTGATGTGTCCTTACGTGCATGTATCCATCCTTCCCCCCATGGGTGTACAAACAAGGTTCTCATGTGTAGGTACGTGGGCATTAACATGTATTGTATCCCACGATCATGTGTAGGTTCCGTGCGCATCCCCTATAAGTGAATTGATTTGGTTGGTTCATGGTGCAATGCAGGATAGTGAGTGATGCACGGGTGCTGGAAGGGAGGCAGGTGATGGAAGCTCACAGGAAGCTTCTGGCGGAGATCGAGGAGATATACGGCGTGCCGGCCAATGTGATGACTGCGCTGTGGGGCATCGAGAGCAGGTACTATAACGAGGATGTATGTTAAAACGACGATGGATGTTATAACGAGGATGCGAGTGATAACGAGGATGCGTGTTATAACGAGGATGCGTGTTATAACGAGGATGCGTGTTATAACGAGGATGCGTGTTATCACATGTATGCATGTGCCAACACGGGATGCATGAACATGCCTTGGGCCATGGCGGTGCATGTGAGGGGTGAGGGTTCATATGCACGGAACGGACATGTAGTGCCGTGAGGGGGTAATGCACTCAATGGTTGTGCTTTTCAAGAGTCCTTCAAAGCGACTCAGGTTTATTGCTGACCTGCATTGTGTGCCTGCTGATGTGGCAGCTATGGGAAGAACATGGGCAAGTGGGACGCCATTCAAGCTTTGCTCACCCTTGCGTATCGCACAAAGCAGGTGAGAAGTGGTGTGGTATGGTGTGGTGTGGTGTGGTGTGGTGTGGTATGGTGTGGTGTGGTGTGGTGTGGTGTGGTGTAGTGTGGTGTGGTGTAGTGTAGTGTGATGTGGTGCGGTGCGGTGTGGTATGGTGCAGTCCAAGGCTATGAATGCGGTGCTGTGGTACAGGCTAGACGCCATCCAGGCTCTGTTCACCCTTACATATCATTAGAAGCTGATGAGAGGTAAGGTTGTGTGGTGTAGTGCGGTGTGGTGTGGCTTGGTGTGGTGTGGTGTGGTGGGTTGTGGAGTTTTGTTGTGCTCCACTTAACATTCACCAAATATTTCATTTTTTCTTGATTCTTTGCTTGTTTGGAGTCCTCTCAACCGCACCTACTCTCCACCATCCAGTTCCCCTTCTCCTCCCTTCTTTGACTCCCTGCCCTTACAACTTCGCCGTGCTGCCTTCTTTCGGGAGGAGCTGATGGAAGCCCTGTCGATCCTTGAGAGCAACCAAGGTCAAAGGCTCTCTGTTTCACTGCACTCCCACCATCCACTTCCTGTTTACTTCTCTTCCCTTTTCCCAACCAGCCCCACCATGCTGCCTCTTTCCGGGAGGAGCTGATGGAAGCCCTGTCGATCCTCCAGCTCAAACCATTCCCGCTTTCTTCTATTCCCTTCCTGTCCCCACCCAGCCTCGCCGTGCTGCTTTCTTCCGAGAAGAGCTGATGGAAGCGCTGTCGATCCTCCAGAACAACCAAGGGCTTTCCACCGCACTGCACTCCTGCCAATCACCTTCTCCTCCCTTTCCTTTCCCAACCAGCCCCGCCGTGCTGCCTTCTTTAGGGAGGAGCCGATGGAAGCGCTGTCGATTCTCCAGAACAGCCAAGGGCCTTCCATAGCAGCAGATTCCCACCAGCGTGTTCCTTTTCTCTTCCCTTCCTTTTTCTCTCTGCAGCCTCGCCGCGCTGCCTTCTTCCGGGAGGAGCCGATGGAAGCGCTGTTCATCCTTGAGAACAATCAAGGCCAAGGGCCATCTCTTGCACTGCACTCCCACCACCCAGTTCCCTGTTCTCCTCCATTCCCTTTTTTCGTGCAGCCCCGTCGTGCTGCCTTCTTTCGGGAAGAGCTGATGGAAGCCCTTTCGATCCTCCAGAACAACCACGGGCCTTCTGTAGCAACAAGAGGCCTTCCTGCTGTTCCTGCTGTTCCGGTTCCTGCTGCTGCTGCTGATACAGCTGCAACGGCAGTGGGAGAGAGGAGGGTGCGGCTGCTGGGATCGTATGCAGGGGCGATGGGTCAATGCCAGTTCATGCCTTCGTCTTTCAACGCATATGCTGTGGACTATGATAAAGATGGGCGGAGAGGTGAGCAACAAGTGACGGTGGTGCTTTATTATACCATGGTTGCGGTGTAGTCGCAAGGGCAGAGGGACTTGCGGTTGTTGGGGTCGTACGCAGGAGCTATGGGTCAGTGGGGGTTAGAGGGTGCGGCTGCTGGGGTCATATGCAGGGGCGATGGGAGGAGAGGTGAGAGAGGGATTGATTGTCCAGCTCACAGTGTAAACGTCTATTCAGTTACCCTTTTCCCCTGTCAGTTCATGCCTTCGTCCTTCAATACCTATGCTCTGGATTACGAATGGGAATGGTGAGCGAGTAATCTGTCTAAAGGAAAAGCTAATCCTTACATGTGAAACGCTAATCTTTCAACAGACAGAATCACAGGACTGTACTTCAATGGCAAACCACTTCTCATGGAGCCCCGCTCTTCTTCCCTTCTCATCTCACCTCTGTTTTCCCTTCTGTGCGTCATCCATTCTGGATGTGCCTCATCCCTTCACATGCAGACATCTGGACTTCCGTTCCTGACGTGCTCTCATCAATGGCAAACGTTACGTTGCCCTATCCTCTCGCCTCTTTTTCTCATCTCGCCTCTCTTTTCCCATATGCACTGCATTGCCTCAATCAGACATCTGGACTTCAGTTCCCGACGTGCTAGCATCAATGGCAAACTACCTCAAGTGCAACCGGTGGAGACGAGGAGAGCCGGTGGGGGTTGAGGTGAGAGGCAAGTTGTGGAACTCTTATGCTTCCCTCATTTTCCTCTTCTCGCACGTGCGCTATCATCAATGGCAAACTACCTCAAGTGCAACCGGTGGAGGCGAGGAGAGCCGGTGGGGGGTGAGGTGAGCGAATCAATGAAATTCTGTGTTACAAGGTCGATGTAACATCAGAGGCAAACCACTTCCGGTGCAACCAATGGCGACAAGGGGAGCTGCTGGTCGTGGAGGAGGCGAGTTGCTGGGCTAGATTCAATTCAAGGACTTTGTGTTGAATTCAAGAGACAGTCGGGCAGGGCTTGTGTTACTGCGTTACCCAGTACACACTAGCATCAATGGCAAACTACCTAAAGTGCAACCGTTGGCGCCGCCTGGGATAGCCAGTGGGGGTTGAGGTAAGAGGCAAGCTCTCTGATTCTCATGTCCCTCTCATGTCCCTGTTATGGCAGCATGGAGTTGGAAATAGCCCTCACTGATTGAGCGAATCTCCCTGCCCCCTCGCCCCCTCTCTCAGGTGGTCGTCCCCCCGGACCTCCCGCTCTCGCTCTTAAAGCCCGCCGTGAAACTCACCGTGGCGGAGTGGCAGCAGAAGCACGGAGTCATAATTGCTGGTCGAAACGTTCAAAGTAGTGGAAGCAATGAAGGCAATGAAGTTTATCAAAGCGATTTAAGGGATGGAAGCAGTGCAAGTGCTGCCACAAATCTGCCGCCTGACATGTTCACCAATCTCGTACGCCTCTTACTGCACTCCCTTTCGTTTGCCAATGCATCCAACCTTCTCCTTCTCACCTACCAATATTTCATCTTTTTCGTTCACCCTTCTGCGCTGCTCCTTTTTCGCTGCTTACTCGTTCTCTACCCCCACTTACATCGTAGGCACCGATGTTTTGGGACACTGATGCTTTCCGCTCTTGTGATCATGAGGCACTGCTGATCGACGCATCTCAAGAAAGGCTGCTTCCTCCTGCCTCAAGTCCATTTCACCCTCCATGTTTCACTGGTTCCCTAGGGCCGTGCTTGCTCCCTCCCTTTAACAGCCCATTGCTCACTCCACTTCTTCCTTTCTCTCCGGGACTGTTGCTCATGGTTGCTCCGCCTCCACCTGTCTTCTATCAATCCGACCCCACCTCCCCCAGGTTGCACCTGACGGTCCAGCTGGCGTTGCTTACCTGGCATGCCACAACTTCCATGTCATCCTGCGCTACAACCCCTCCTCGCTGTACGGGCTCGCCATTGCTGAGCTGGCACGCAGACTGGGATAATCAAGGAGAATTATTGGTACCTAACAAATGCATAGCAAAAGACCCATGGGGGGGTCTAGACCCGTATGCACGTCCAGGGGGGGTCTGATCTCTGGAAATGCATGGCATTAGATTCCCCCCACCCCTATTATAGACCTGGGTTTAGTATTCCGGGGGGGGGGGGGGGGTCTACTATCCGGGCGAATATGGTATTCTCATGTACTACAAACCACTAGGAGAAGGCGAGCTGATTGGTGAATGTGATACTGTGCTTAAAAAATGGAAGTGAGTCGGAAGCTCAAAGCAGGGTGGGGAGGGGAGGGAGGGTGAAGCGGTTGTACCACTATTGAGGAGATAATCTCAGGTGCATGATATAGTGCCTGAGGTACCAATCGATATAATTTCATGCATTTGAGGAGACCAATGAGGGGATTGAGTAAGACAGGAGCCTGAAGAGTGGAAAAGGAGCGGGAAATGGGAAGAAGGGGTTATGGAGGAAGTGGGCTGGGAGAAGGCGGGGAAACCAAAACTGGAGTTCGTTAAAGGGCCTTACGTCAGCCGGGAATCGAACCCGGATCTTTTGCTTGGAAGGCAAATATCCTAACCATTGGACTACTGACGTGTGGTACTGGGAACCCAATTAAAATTATTGATTTTTATCATTTGAAGCCTATTTGAAAGAAAGTATCACTACAGTCTACAACACTCTGCTTGCTTGTAGTACCCAAGTACCAGGGGATTCCTTTATCTTTGAAGTTTAACCGCTTTTTGCTTGTCTACTTTGTGCCACTACAAGCTCTCACATGAGTTGCAGTCTACATAATGCAAGGTGTGCTACTACTAGCCTCAAACCCACTTCTACCAACTAATGGACAACGAATTGATGTCCCTTTGACCCCCTAATATCCCATCTGCCCGAAACCATACATACCGTACTTGTGCCAGGTGAAGGCTACTTTACAGCCTTTTCACTATGCGCAGGGCGAGCAGAATGATTGCCATGCCAGGGTTCCAGATGACCCCCATTATCTTAGTTGCCTCCGGTTGGTACTGTCCCTCTAGACGAGACCCATGCCTCTGGAGCTGCTGCTTCTGCCCAGCCTGGCCGCACTCGCACTGGCAGGAGTGGCAGAGCTGCTGGTAATCCCCCCCACCTTGCTTCTTGGACTGGCAGGCCTTGAACCCAGGCGCCTCTCCTCCCTCCTCTTCTCCTCCTTCTCCTCTTTCTTCTCCTCCCTCTTCTTTTCATCCTTCTTCTCAGCTTTCCGCTCGACTTCTCCTTTAGACTTTCTCTCCCCTTTCTTGTCCACATCAGCCTGTGCCAGCCTGGCAGCAAAGGCCTCATGCTCCGCCCTCAATCGTGCCAGCTCACCCTCTGCTGCCTGCGCCGCCCGCTTGGATTCCTCCAGCTGTGCTGCCATGTCAGCAAGCCTTGCTGCCAGCTCACCCTCGTGTGACTGCTGTGCTGCACTGCTGTCTGCTGCCCCTGCGCTCGCCATTGCACTGGTAGAGGGCAGGGACGAAAAAAAAAAAACAAGAAAACGAAGTTGAGTCAGGTGGTGAGGAACAGGGAGAAGACTGGGAACAGTCCACTGAAAAAGGGACAGGAGAGAGTGCCCTTCTAGGCACCTCAGACTCACACCCACCTCTCACCAACCCCACTTTACTCACCACTTGAGCTGCTCCTTGTAACGGTTGTTGGCCTCCAGTGCCTCTGCCAGCTCTGCCTCCATCTTGCGTCCTACTCTGTGCCTGGACACAGTCCCACGAGCTCCCACCAGCTACCCCTCACTCACCGCTTGAGCTGCTCCTTGTAACGGTTGTTGGCCTCCAGAGCCTCTGCCAGCTCCGTTTCCAGAATCGCCATTCTCTCCGCCACGCCACTCGCCATGCGCTGCGCTGCTGCCTTGCGAGGGTCCTGTGGTGATATGGGAGGAGTGGATGGAGATCGTACTCAAGATAGCGTTATTTTTGGCACCTAAAGGAGAGCTCCAATAAGCGATCAATATGTGTTGAGTGTAGAGCGTTTGGTGCAATAAGCGTCCGACCCAATGACCACAAGTAGTCACCCCTCCCACCCCTCCCACCTCTCCCACCCCTCCCACCCCTCCCACCTCTCCCACCCCTCCCACCTCTCCCACCCCTCCCACCTCTCCCACCCCTCTCACCCCTCCCACCTCTCCCACCCCTCCCACCCCTCCCACCCCTCCCACCCCTCCCACCTCTCCCACCCCTCCCACCTCTCCCACCCCTCTCACCCATCCCACCTCTCCCACCCCTCCCACCCCTCACCCCATGTCCCTCACCTCCTGTGTGTGTGCCTCTGTGCCGGACCCCTTGAGTGCTGCCAGCGCACACCGCAGTTCCGCCTCCCTCACGCGTGCTTCCCCCACCTGCTGCTGCGCCTTGCGCAACTGGAGATAAGGGAACACATGGCACATGGGGTCGGGGGGAGCACGTTTGGGGAAGAGGGTTAACGTGGGCGTTATGAGGGGATGAGTTTTTTAGGCACCGCAAACGAAGCTGCGCCTCTTTCACTCGCACCCTACCCACCTGCTGCTGCACCTTGCGCAACTGAAGGGACGCAGGGCTTGGGGAGTGCAGGAAGTTGTGTTGAGGGATCATTGCAGATCGCATGATGTGGCATGTGAAATGTGTCCTGAATTTTGAATCCTTGTTGATACGATCTCCCCCCCATGCACAGTCCTCCATCCCATGCAAGCACTCCCCATCCCATGCACATACCCCCCAATCCCATACATGTGACCTCCATCCCATGCTCACGCCAATAACCCTTTAACCAAGAGGCCATCCCTACCTCCTGGTTCAGCCTGGCAGTGGCGTTGTCTCCTCTGCTCCCCAGCAGCTCGTTGGCTGCTTCCAGCTGCTCCAGCCGCTCTGTCAGGCTGCGCTCCCTCGCCTCTGCTGTGGCTCTGCTGCTCTCTAGAGACTGCTCCAACGACCGCACTTGGTCCTGCAAGGGGTGCACATGGGTTCAGAGGGTTGAGATGGGTTGAGAGAGGAGAACGATGTTAAGGTTTCTGGTACGGAAGCCAACACAGACTTTGCAGCTTCCTTCTGCTCCCCAGCACAATCTCTCATGTATCCCCTCACCTCTCCACTCCCCCCAAAGGAGATCCCGCCTCTCACCTCAAGCTTGCCCACTTGGCTCTCCATCCCGCCACCTCCCCCAGATGCAGCCTGCTTCGCGGCCTCCAGCTGTCGCTCAGCAGCAGCCAGCGCCTCTGCCTTGCGCTGCAGCTCGCCCTCCAGAGCCATCGTCCTCTTCCTCAGCTCCTCCACCTGCCTCTCCGCCCCACCCTCCCCTCCCCCACGTGCGGACATTATCCCCCCCGCCCGCCCCCCGCGGGCGAATGCTCCGCCCCCTCCCCCGCCCATCATCCCCCCTCCGCCTCCCCCCATTGGCCTGCCTTTCATTGCGCTACCAGCGCCCATGCCCACAGTGCCCACACCCATCCCCCCATCCCCCTCTCCCTTCACCTCCGCCAACTGCTTTTTCAACTCCCCATTCTGCTGCTTGAGCTGCCGCACCTCCTCTGCCAATGCACTCGCCACCGCCCCTCCCGCTCCCCCCCCAATACCCCCACCACCCGCAGACCCACCCCCCCCAGACACACTCGCCAGCTGCTCCACCCGCTCCTCCAAATCCCTCACCACTCCTTCCAACCGCTTCTTCTCCTCTCTCAACCCCACCACCTCCCCTGCCTTAGCCGCCAATTCCCCCACCTCCCCCTCCAGCACCACATGCTTGGCCCGCAAATCCTCCAGCTCACTCAGCCCCTCCTCCATCTTAGCCAGTTTAAGCGAGAGTGTAAGCCTCCTCTCCTCTAGCACCTGTTTCTCCGTCCGTAAAGCCACCAAATCGCTCTTCACCCGCTCCAACTCCTTCACTTTCGCAGCCATGATCCCCTGTTGGGCCACCAACGCCCGCTTCTCCCCCTCAAGCTCCTCCCTCACCGCTTCCAACCGCTTTACACCCGCCTCCGCCTCCCCCAGCTGCCGAATCAGCTCGTCCCGCTCCTCCTCAACCCCCCTCAGCTTCACCACTGCTTCTCCCGCCTCTGCTGCTTCCCTCTTCAGCCCCTCAGCCTCAACCGCCCACGCGGCCTCTCTGCTGCGCGCTGCAGCCTTCTCAGCAGCCACAGCCCGCCTTTGACTTTCCACTTCAAGCTCCGCCTTGTTCCTCTCAGCTATCGCATCCCTGAGCTCAGCCTCCGCTCGCCTCAACCGATCCTCCAGCTTCCCCTTAGCAGCCCTCAGCTCAGCCGCTTCCACCGCACTCGTATTCTCCCTTCTTAAGTTACCACTCGCGCTCACAGACGCGGATAGCTGCTCTGTCAGCAGTTGCACCTCCGCCTGTAGCCGTGCTACAGCCGCTTGCCTCTCCTCCTTCTCCCGCCTCTGCCCCTCCTCTGCCTTGCCCGCCCTCGTCTTTGCCTCATCCCTATCCCTCTCCACCCCTTGCAACCGCGCTGTTAGCTTCGCCTCAACCTCTTTCATCCTCGCCAGGTCCCTCCCCATCTGCTCCCTCACCCTCTCCCCCGCCGCCTCCCCTGCTACCGCCCTCGCCTCTGCCGCCTCCCGCTTCGCCTCCTCCTGCCCCAGCACCCGACTAAACCGCTCCTTCTCCCGCTCCACCTCCTTCAACCGTCCCTCAAGCCCCTGCACCTCGCTCATCAGCTCCCCTTCTCTCGCCTCCGCTCGCTGCAACCGCCCCTCAAGCTCCTTTGCTCTCCCTGTCTCTGCCTTGGCCTCAGATGTCACCACTACCAGTTGAGCCTGCACCTCTGCAACCCTCTCCTCTGCCCTTCTCTTCCCCGTATTCGCCTCCTGCAGTTCCGCCTCTAGCTTCCCACACGCCCCTTCCAGGCGCAGCACCCTCATCTCCACCTCCCTCTTCCCCGCCCCGGACTCCCCAGCCACCTTCCGAACCTCCGCCTCAAGCTCGGCAACCCTCTTCCGAGCCTCCTCCAGCTCCTTGCTCTTCCCGCGCCGATCCC